ATCTCCCCCACAATAGGGAGTTCTTTGCAGATTGGTGAGGAAGTAACTTACTTTGTTGGTAAATTCCTATCTGAAAACAAACTGAATAAAATTCTCATTTGTCTCTTTTACTAAACCACTTGAACAATGTTGTCCACAATCAATGATTAGATAGACATGTAGGTGAATGGACACTTCTGGGAAAGTCTAGACATACATAAAAACAGGAGCCACTATCACGGGTATAATCTTCATCTAACAATCAAGCCCAAAACCAACCCCACCAGTTTGAAACTCTGCAGAGGACCAAGTAACTGGAAACTCCTTGGGATCTACGACATCCTAAAGCACCTTTCTCCACCTTTCCATAGCAATTTTAGACTTCAAAATAAGCTATTTGTTCAAATCTGGGCTAGACAAATACTGGCTTGCTGGTTCTGTAGAACATCAACCTTCATCAGCTCTAGCCAATCTGGCCAATATCAAAAATGAGAGAGCTGGAGACCAGCAACACCTGAAAGTCCACAGATTTGTATTGATAAATTTCCACCCAAATAATATTTTAAGCCTATAAGATGGGGGAGCGGGGGGTGGAGAGAGAGAAAGGCAGTCTACCAGAAACATGGGAAAAGATCAGAACCTGCCTTGGACTGAGTGATCATTGATCTAACTAAGGACACTATGATTCAGTTTTATTCAAAGTTCCTTCATCTCTTTACCTGACTACAGATGTCATAGGAAGAACATTTTGCCTGCAGTACATAAGCGCTGCACCCCCCTCCCCCCACAGTCCATCTCCCCACCAATCCATCTAGCAAGGGCACAGTACTACCCTGATGACACCTTTATGCATCTCTGTACAGACCCTCTTTTTTCTGCACTTACCTTTGCACAAAAAATATGTCTCTTTGTTCAATTCCACATTCCCATTTATAGGAATAATTTCTAGAGATTCCTTGGCACCTTGTACAGACCCTTGGGAAAGAAAAAATATGCCTCAGTGAAAAACTTCTATCAAAATGTTGGTTTCGGGTTTTTTTCTGACAGTAATAAGTAAGGCCACCCCAGTAACCCAGGCAATATTTTATTATAAGGGTACCTGAAAGTTTGCAACAAAAGAGCACACTTGGCAGTGAAGCAACTCTCCAAAAAGCAGGTGGGATCAGCACAGAGAAGTGGGTAAGAGCCAGGACCCAACTGAAATTTGATTTAAATGAAACACTGTTCATATGATTATTAAATGCAATGTGGAATAATTTTGCACCATCCCTTTAAAAGTACAGTTCAGCACCGCTTCCGCAGGACTACACCAAGCTTTCAGAGATCCAGATGCTCTCAAGGCATGATGTTTTGCAGCCAGTTGTAAGCTATTATTTGCAACCTGTTCTAAGCAAACATTTGCAACCAGTTGCCAGCAATTACTTGTGGTAGCAATAACATTTACAACATCTATGAAGTCAAGAAGCATTATGCCTTTAGTAATCTGTGTCCTATTTGATGTGAGTGCAAATCTCCAGGTGCTTGAAGAAGGCGTCTAGGATTTAGGAAATAGCTTTTAGCTGATGAATGGCATGAGTTTTATGCCACTTCTAAATTCAGGGCTTCTAGGTTACCAATCAAAAAGATAGTTGTTCTAGCCTTCCCTTTTGTCATTTTCCCTAGTCAGAATGCAATCAATCAAACAAAAAGTGGGAAAAGTCAGAGTGGTTTAAAATAAAAGATAATAATTGTATCTGAACCTCTTGTAATGTCATATAAATGATAGGGCTGCAGAAATCCAGAACCCGCCGCCACCGTCACCACCATCATCATCAGTTTTGGGCATTGACCCACAAAACTTGCATTCAGTACTAAAATTAGCCATCCCATTGTGTCATCAGTCTAACCTAATACATACTATAGAAATAACTAAAAGTTAAGATTTTAGCACAAATATAAAAACATGAAATCAGTGCCATTAATTGATTACAATATCAACCCAGATGGCCATTGGATTTTTGGTGCCTACATATTATAGCCCTACCTTAAATCTCTTTCTTGTGAATTAGCCTTTTTTTTTTTTTCATATGAGAAAAACAAATGAAAACATCTTTCTCTGTGCATGGAAGAAACAGGCATCCCTGTGGCTTGGAATGTACCTAGTGTGACCAGATGTGAATGTCTTTCTAACTTTACACAACATTTGCTGATTCACATGCATCTTTTTTTTTTAAGTCAAAAATATTTTGGAGTCAGTCAAAACATATTTTATCAGGTACTGCACAATGGTCTACATGCCAACACAAAAATAGCTTTGGTGAATGTCTATAGGATTATAGGCTTAATGTGGAAACTTCTCCTACAGAAATTGCATTCCACAGTAATGAAAATGTTTGAACAGGTGTGCTATAGGGGAGGGAGGAGCAGAAAAGGGGAGCAGAATCTCTAGCAGATCTGATCAGCAATGGGAAATAGCAGGATTTTTTTTTCCAAATCTAGGTATTGCACCTTTAAAGGTCATACACCCTGTATTAACCATGGCTTCCCTCTAAACAACTGGAAACTCTCCTGATTGTAGCAGATTCTGATGTTCATGACCGCAATGGCCAACATCTGTGTTCTCCAAAGTTACTTTTTCTCCAGAAGTATCTGATTTTCCCATGGTGTCCTAGCTACCATGGCTGACTCCAGAGAAGACCCAAAGTACCAACCCACTCAAAAACCTCCAGGCAAACTCTTAAGGGTAGAAATCCAAAGAGACAGTCAGCATATGGAATTTGGAGCAACAGAAAAAAGGTACTGATGGTTGATTATGTCGCAGGCATGTTCCACACTGCAACGTTTTTCCTGCAGAACCTTCTTGTGTCTTTAAATCAGTCTTCTTTGCCCTTGATGGGCCCTCCAGTGGGGTTGTACTATAGCTCCCATCACCTTCCCTGGCAACATGGAGTTTGTTGGTTGAGGAACATAGGAGTTGTAGTTCAAACACATCTGCCAGGAACCTGGTCTGAACAGACTGCCTTGAGTTAATCAGTTGGGAATGAAGTAGATTCAGACCATTTTCTTCCAGCAATGGAGTGCTGTATTCTTGACATACCCCCACCAAAATCCCTCCCTGCCCTCCCTCAACACTCCTGGTCTCATCCATCTTACCTGCTGCAAAAATGAAAATGAGAAAATGTTTTGCTCCCATCTTAGGGGGGTAAAGTTTCAGCATTGGGCTTCTTCTCTCTTGGTGCCAGCAATCTGGAATGATTCCTGGACCCTGGGAAATTTATAACGAGACCCTCCTCCCTCCCACCTCCCTTTCTTTCTCCCCTCCTCCCTGCCCTGTATCTCTGTGACTGCAGGAGAGGAAAAAGAAAGAGGAAATTAAGCTGGGAGGGGGAAAAGACAAAGGAAAGGAAAGTCTATACATCTATGTGTGTGTGCGTGTGTGTCCATGTGTGTGCTTGTGTCGTGAATTTGTGCACATGGTATACTCATTACTCATGCATCGATGTGTAAGTAGATTTCTAATCCGCATTTGCACTGATTTCTGACCATCTTTTGGGGCAATTGCATTCTAGAGCTCAACAGACCAGCTTTTCTCTGTGATTTATATTCATATTTCCATTAATAAAGACACTGTACACATTTATTTGTTTGTTCAATTTATCCATCTCACATATATGACTCTGGGTAGCTTACGAAGTTTAAAAAAAAAGAACAAAAACAACCAAAATCATAATAAAAGACCATTAAAACGTTAAAACAATAAAAACCATTAAAACCATTAAAAAAACCATAATCTGCTCCTGCTGTGTAATCAATCTCACTAACAGTACGGCTACTTTGCAGGATCCCTACCACCACTACCAGATCCCCAGGCCAGATGGCAAAGCCATGTCTTCAGGCCCTTCCAGAAGGCCAACAAGGTTGGAGCCAGTCTGACCCCAGGGAGGAGGATGTTCCATATGGCGGGCACCATGGCAGAAAAGGCTCTCTTCCTGGGCCCTACCAGATGACACTCCCTGATTGATGGGACCTAGAACATGCTCCTCCTGCTAGATCTGACAGGACAGGTAGATGTGACTGGGGAGACATGATCCCTCAAATAACCTGGTCCTGTGCCATGTAGGGATTTATAGGTCACTACCAGCACCTTGAATTGAACCCAGAAGCAAACTGGCAACCAATGCAGCCCACATAGCAGAGATGTAATGTAGGTACAGACGTAACTCCCTGTGCCATCGCATTTTGACCAGCTGAAGTTTCCAGATGCTCTTCAAAGGCAGCCCCATTACAGTAATCCATGTGTAATGGTATGTGGGAATGACCTTGGGAGATGGGAGGAAGAGATGCTGCCTAGGGAATGATCAGATTAAGAGGTGGCATAGCCTGCAGCTGCATAACAGGAAGAGAAAGAAATTCAGAAAGGATCCTCCCTAACTTATCAGGCTGTAAAAGAGATGGCGGGAGATTTGTACTTTCAGACTTACAAGATTAATGTAGCCTTACAATAAAGCAGAATTAGCTCATCTAGTCGTGTTTCCTGTCAGGTCTACCTGGGAAGGCTGACACTATGTGAGAGGTAACCAGGGAGTGAGTGAGTGACTGAGTGTAGGCCCTCCCAATTCAGGAATGGGTGCAAATGGTGCACAACCCAAAGTTGCACAAAGGCCCTCCTAGCTACAACTGTCACCTGGTCATCGAGCAGGAGTTGTGAGTCCAGAAGGACCTCCAGATTATGCACCGGATCTGTCTGGGGTAGTGCCATCCCATTCAGAACCAAATATGATAATTTCCCAGCCCCAAAACCTGAAGCCACTCAGTCTTGCCAGGATTGAGCTGAAGCCTGTTGTTCTCCATCCAAACTGCCACAGCCTCAAGGCACTGAGACAGGACATCAGCAATATCACTTACTTCACCAGGGGTGGAGATATACAGCTGGGTATCATCAGCATAGTCCATGGTTACAGATGACCTCATCTAGCAGCTTAATGTAGATGTTAAACAGGAACGGAAAAAGTGCTGAACCTTGCAGCTCCCCACAAAACAGGGGCAAAAGGCAGGGCCTCTTGCTCCTGATCAACACTGACTGGAACCAGCCACAGGGGAAGGAAGAGAACCGGCACAATACAGTCTCGCCCACCCCCAACCCCTGCAACTGGTCCAAAAAGATACCATAGTTGATTGTATTGAAGGCCACCTAGAAGTCAAGTAGAGCAAGGATGGATGCACTACCCTCATCCCGCTCCTGCCAGAGGTCGTCTAAAAGCATGACCAATGCTGTTTCAGTCCCATACCCATGCCTGAAATCAAACTGAAAGGAGTCCAGATAATCCACTTTATCCAGGATCCTCTGAAGCTACACAAGCACCCAAAGTGAAGGCTGGATACTGAATGAAAATTGTCTAGTACAGTTGGATCTAGTGAGGGTTTCTTGAGGAGGGGGCAAACCAATGCCTCTTTAAGGGGCAGAGGAGCCATCCCCTCTCTCAGAGAAGAATTTACCACTGCTAAAACCCGACCACACATCACCTCCCAGGAGGCCTTCGCCAGCCAGGAGGGACGTAAGTCTAATAAACAGGTGGCCAACCTCATAGTCATGAGGACCTCAGGCCCAACAGATTCAAACTCCTTCCAGATAACATGGCAGGACTGCACCTCAGGCATCCATCTGGGAGCGAATCTGAGCTATTTTGTCCAATAAATGCTCTACATGTTCCTATGCATGGCCCTATAGGTGCACCACAAGGTCCCCTCTACCCAAGAGGGCTCAGGTAACCCTAAACAAAGTTGCCAGTTGGCTATTCACAAATGCAATAAAGCCAGAAAAGTACTGATGCTTCGCCACCCTTACCTCCACAAGGTAGGCCTTAATAGCGGCTCTAACGCATGTTCAGTTGAGTTCATTCTTCACTGACCTCCAACGATGCTCCAAGCATCTCTTAGACCGCTTCATCTCCCTCAACTCTTCCATAAACCATGTAGAGTGACAGGCTCCATGAGAGGAGAGAGGCCACATGGGTAAAATATACATCACTGGATGCTGCAACAAAAGACATCACACATGTTAAAAAGAGGCAGGACTTCACTCCCATAGTCATGGGTTCCACCTTGACTTTTCTGATCCCCTTTCCTATGGAGGCCCCTGCAAACAGCTGACTGACAGCACAACAAGAGGTTTGGCTCTCCTCCCTTAGTTTCAACAAGGATGTACTACCTGATTGAGTCACATGTCATGCTAAACCAGAGATGGGCAAACCATAGCTAGCATGAAGCCCCTGAGACACTGAGCTCAAGGTGTCGTAAGATGGCCAATCTTTGCTGGCATTTTCTTTTTCTTTCTGTGAAATAAGTGTGGAAATTGGAGCTGGAGGTTCTCAGAGGCAAGCTACTTCCATTACCACCTAAAAAAAAAATGCTTTAAATCCTACAAAACTGATGGACCCAACTGGGTTTCAGAGGGAGCTTGGGGTTGTTCCGGGAAGTCTGCTGCATGGCCCAACCGAAGCCTTGGTGGCTGCATGGAACGAGAGCGTGGCCACGGCTTCGGATCGAATCGCACCTGAGCAGCCTCTCCGTGCCCATGGCTCCCATAGCTTTCCGTGGTATAAGGAAGAGCTGAGGAAGCTTAAGAGGGCTAAGAGATGCCTAGAGCGCCACTGGTGGAAGACGGGGAGCGAAGATGATCGAACACGAGCTAGAGCTGTGATTAGACCCTACCTCGTGGCAGTAAGGGCAGTGAAACGTAATTATTTCTCCACCTTTATTGCACCTGCAGATAGCTGCCAGCGGCCCTATTCTGGGTGACCTGGACCCTCCTCAGAGGGAGTAATTTGGGGATCTACCCTCAGGGCCATTGTGAGGAATATGCTGAGCATCTGGCAGGTAAAGTCACTCGCATCCGCTCTGCATTGAATGCCAGCCTTGATGCAAGGCCAGTGGGGGCTACTGGGGCTGAGTCTTGCATGGTTATCTGGGAGGAGTTCAAGCCCATTGAACCTAAGGAAGTGGACAGGGTTCTTGTGGCTCTTAGTTTGGCCACTTCTGTGTTAGATCTGTGCCCCTCCGGGCTGGTCAAGGCTGCCCGGGAGAGGACACGCAATTGGGTCTGGGCAGTAGTTTATTCCTCTTTGAGGGAGGGGGTGGTCTCACCAGCTCTTAAGAAGGCAGTGGTACACCCCCTCCTCAAAGGGCCATCGCTCAACCCAACTAATCTGGACAGTTTTCATCCAGTCTCCAGCCTCCCTGTTTTAGGGAAGACTGTTGAGAAAGTGGTCACGTGGCAGCTTCAAAGGGCTCTGGATGAAGCGGATTATCTGGACCCCTTTCAGTCAGGATTCAGGCTGGGATGTGAGACAGCATTGATCGCACTCTTGGATGACCTCTGGCGGGAGCAGGATGGGGGCAGTGCTTCGTTCCTTGCTCTTCTTGACCTCTCAGCCGCCTTCGATACCATGAATCATGGTATCCTTCTGGACCGGTTTCAGGAGTTGGGGGTGGGTGGCACTGTGTTGTGCTGGTTCTCCTCCTTCCTCTGGGGTTGGTAGGAGGGGAGAGGTCCAGTCCACAGCCCCTACTGTGTGGGGTGCCACAGGGTTCAGTTCTCTCGCCTGTCTTATTTAACATCTACATGAGGCCACTGGGTGAGGTGATCCAGCAGTTTGGGGTGAGGTATCATCAGTATGCTGAGGATACCCAGCTTTATATCTCCTCCCCAGGCTGTCTGAGTGATGCTGTGGATGTCCTGTCTCAGTGCCTGGAGGCTGTAGGGGCCTGGATGGGGCGCAATGGGCGTCAGCTCAACCCAAGCAAGACTGAGTGGCTTTGGGTGTTTGGGCCTTCCATCTTTGGTTATGGATGGGGTGGCTCTGCCCCAGATGGACCCGGTGCGCAATCTGGGGGTTCTCTAAGACTCACAGCTCCTGCTGGAAGAGCAGGTAGCAGCCGTGGCTAAGAGGGTCTTTGCGCACCTTTGGGTCGTGCATCAGTTGCACCCATTCCTGGACCGGGAAGCTGTACTCACTGTCACTCATGCCCTCGTGACCTCCCGTTTGGACTATTGCAATGTGCTCTACATGGGGCTGCCCTTGAAGAGCATTCAGAAGCTCAGCTGGTGCAGAATGCAGCTGCCCGGGTTATTAATAGTGTCACTTACTCAGCCCATGTAACACCATTGCTTCAGGAGCTGCACTGGTTGCCGGTGAGTTTCCGGGTACAATTCAAGGTGCTGGTTGTCACTATAAAGCCCTTCA